TTCCTATTATAATTCTATTTCCTATTCCTATTATAATTCTATTTCCTATATTACAATGAGAATAATTCTATTTCCTATATTACAAAGAGAATAATTCTATTTCCTATTTTACATTTCAACAGAGAGGAATATTTGAAGTGTGTTTTCTTTGCAGGATGTGTGATGATTTAAAGGATTTGAACTCCAATTTTGGATGGTTAAGAAAGAAGTAGAATTATAGTTAGAGTAGAGTTTATGTATGCACACATATTGTTTGATGAAATGCCTAAGAGAAGCATGAGTAGAAGTAGAGAATCTTACTTTATGTAACATAGCATATTTGCATTTTATGAGTGCATATAAGAAAGATTCTAGGCATGAGCCATCCATATGCATATGTTTATATGTGTAATCATCAAAGAAAGAAATGTGAGTAATGAGAAAGAAACACTCTAAGAATAAAGATAAAGAAAAGAACTAATTCTCTTAGAATAAAGAGAAAGAAAGAATTAGCTCTAGAAAATAAATGAATAAAAAAGTGCTAAAGAAGAGAAAAGAGAATAGGTTGTACAATGGAGAACCCGTGAGTGTAGAATTACCCGCATGTAAACCGCCGTGACAGAGCGGTCTCCGCCATGAGAGAGCGGAATGAGAATGAGAAAAAGAATTCATATAGCCCGTAAGAATACATGCGGATGAGGGCTATACACGAGAGACAGTACACTCACATGGCTAAGGGTTCTGAATCCATGCATCAACCAAGACCGATCGGCAAAGAATAAGAGAAAGAATGAGAATGAAAAAACATGAGAAAAGAATAGAAAGAAAAGAAAAGAGAGAAAATGCATTGCTTTGCATTAGTGCATATGCATCTCATCCATGCATGTTATCATGATATCCCTCATGGGTGATGAGAATAGAAAGGAAGAAAGAATAGAAAGAAAGAAAAGAACAGTGAGAACTAGAAACAGAGAAAGAACAAGAGAGATTGAATAAGAGAAAGTGACAAAAGTAAGGAAAGAATTGAAGAGTGATACAAGGGGACAGTAGAGTAGAGGATTTACTTAGTGAGCACCTTTGTGCTCACCCCGTTGTTTTCTATGTTTTTGCAGGACATAGGTGAGGACGTTGTCGGATGGACGTCAGCAAGGGGGAGACTTGGCTACACTGTCCACTGTTTTGAGAGTCTTTTTACACAAATGATATTGTACTATGTAAAGAATGTATATATGAAGTAAAAAAAAATTTTGGGCCCAACTATTTTGATAAGTATACTTGTATTTTTATTAATAAAATGTATGAATATGATAGTAGAAAGAAGTCATTACACAATCAGCACTGCAATAGGAGAAAGACATTAACATTAGATTCAGCTCATAGAATAATTGTATTATGTAAGTTTTATCCTTGAGTCATTTGTCGGGATGGGAAAACGCTTTAGTAGCCACTTTCCCGTCAGTATTTCATAGCCAAAGTGCTGAAACATCTTGCTGTCACATAACAGCCACTGGAACAATACGCACAATGGTTCCAACTCCATCTCCAACTACCTCTCTCGATAAATATTTGGGTTGCAGTCAAGGATCTGCAACAAGCCCTTCTCTAGAAGCGCGACGACGGTTATCCAATGCATATCCTTGATGTTGATGATGTAGTATACTCTTTTAACCTTTGCCCAATTGTGACCATGTTTGGGCCTTTCCCCCTGTACATACTACATCATCCTATCATCAAACTGAAAATCATCAAGGACACCATCGAAGTCATCTGTGGCCAATCTTTTTCGCTTGCCTCCTCTTGCTGCACCTCTACCAATGACCTTTTTCATTAAAGTGTCATATGTCATTACTAGCGTTTGGCTAAAAGCCACATCAGTGATGGCATAATCAGGATATAATATATCACCATTACTGTTATGTCGTAGCCTCATGAGTGCCAATACCTCATCGATGTGTTGCATCAAATAAAAACAACATGATAAGTATACAATACATCGTGGAAAACAAAAACAAAAATAAGGGAAAATAACTCATCGAGTCGTCAAGCCACCTGCCCATCGTCAACATCTTTTCAAACCACTCCTAGGAATAATCCCTAATCTTGCACTTCACATGGGCATCACTTCCAGATTCATTGTAATAGGCATAGAAGAATTTTTTTTTCTTTTCCTCTTCTATTGGCCTATACAAATCGACCTTTAACTCCTCCGTTTTCGCTTGCCCACTTCCTCCCCCTTCCTCCATTTGCACATCCGCACTTCCTTCGCGTCCTGCCTCACCCTCCTCCATTATCACTTCCCCACTTCCTCCACCAACCTCCTTAACCTCCCCCATTTTTGCTTCTCCACTTTCGTGGACTTCCTCAATGTTTTTCTTCATTTTCCTCTTCTTTCCATATGTTACTATGGTGTAAGGAGATTTGACAAACTTACTCTTTTGGCTTTCTCTTTTCAACTCAGATTGCACTTCAACTGCTTTCAATACTCCACTAACTTCCTCCTCCACCTTATCAACTTTCTCTGCTACCTTATAAATTTTCTCTTCCACCATTTTCATCCGCTCTTCTATCTTGTCAAACCTCTTATAAACGGTTGTTGTAAAACTCTCAAACAGACAATTTATGAGGTCAGCAACCTCATTCTCCTGACCTTGACATCTTGGCAAACAGTACTTGTTGTACCAGTTTGCCAATTGGGTAGAGGCGTCCGAACCACTTCATCCTCCTCCTCCTCATCTCTCCCACCGATTGAAGCTTCATCATCCTCGACATCAACAACATTCTCAAGTAGTGACCCTACAACTGTCGTCACATGCGTGACCTCTTCTAGGTCCTGCATTAGTCGTTCTATCCCTTCATCTATTGCATCGTCCAGTGCATCGAATGATGTAACATACTCATCTCCTGCTTCACCCCTAATAGCGGTGAGGAATGGACGGACGACTCCCTGTAATGAGAAAAAAAAAAAATCAAATTTAAGTCACATTTAAAAGCAACTACATATTTAAAAGATTAATCATTTAATCTTACCCGAACCGCTTGAATTTCTATGTCTATTTTGTCGTAATCCTAATGGGTACACTTCTCGATGTGCCACCGCAACATCCTAGAAAATTGCAGTAACTCATCGGAAGTCTTCATCCTCCCCCCGCCTTAGCCAAGATAGAGACGACCTTATACATCCAAGCCTACATTGTAAAAAAGCAGTCCATATCATAATTAAAATACATATAATACAAAAAATATAACAAAAAGCTATAAATATTTACCTGCATAGCCCATGGGAAGTCAAATAAATTGTACGTGCTCAGTGTATTCTTCTCAATAGATTGGCAATGCTTTAACGTCATGTCTTTTCCTTGCAAGAAGTCCATGGTTCGCTGAAATGATACCCGTCCCCATAGATAAGCATTAAAGAAGTCCATGTTGCTTGCAAACTTCACAAATCCATATTAACGGCTTTTGTTGAGTTTGAAGCCATTAGGATCGAATAAGAGAACCATACCAGACACATCTTGAACCTCTCTGAAGAGGTAAACCCAACTTCTCCTAGCCTCTCCTCTAAATCGCGTCCCATAATAGATAACCTCCCCCCCCCCCCCCCCCCCCCCCCCCCCCAAATTATCGCTGTCCACTTTTTTTTATTCTCTCTTGCTCTTCCGCATCTGGAAATGCCTTGCATCTTAAGCCTGTCACTAGGGCATTTTCCATCATCCCAAATCGTAGTGGTCTTCCTATCCACTACGAACCACATTTCATTTTTTATTTTGGCTTTTTACTGAGTGTAGCACATATAATGCATTCCCTACCCCTAGAAAGCCCTTTTCCAATTTTCTCCAATGTTCATAAAATGACCGAAGCAACCCTCTTTAAATCGGTTCATACCCTTCTTCTGTTCCTTTAAAATTTCCATTATTCTCGTAAAGACTGCCAACTCGACCTAATTGTCACTCTGTGGGGAAGTACAGTACCTTATCGCTTACAATCTCCAACCCATGGTCTTTATAATTTACGCTTCACAAAATCTGCATAAACAATATAAACTAAATATCAGCCAAAAAAAAAAAAAAAAAAAGACCAAAACAACCAATAGACTGACAATTTGGGGGATATGGCCTTCAAGGGCATCAGGGCGTGGATGTTTTTGGCCTCGATTGGGGAAGCCAATGCAAGCCCTACAGAGCCTGTTGTGGTAGGTTCCATGAGGTTACCTTCTTACAGCCTCCCTTGCCTTCCCTCATCATTTGGAACCCAAACAAAGCCACTCCTCCCTTGCCCACCAACTGCTCGACAACATGCCACAACCATCATAACAATAAAACCAACTACATATCCCCCAAATTCGCACAAATCAATCAAATTTCTCATCAAATTCAAAACAAAAAGTAAAAAACGCACCCTTTCCTCACCACCGTCCTCCTCGCTTGAATTCTCGTTGGTGCCCTCTTCTTCAGAACCATTTCCCGATTCTTCTCTCTTTTCTTGTGTCGTCGTTGTCTCCTCTGCCTTGAGACCACCTTGACTCATCGGATGATCCACCGGGGCGTCTTCTTCGACAGCCTTTGAACTGTTGGCGTCGCCCGAGTCAAGGATTCGGAGTGGGGTTGGGTTTTCCTCCTCTTTGTGAATGTTGGCCATGGTTTTGTGTAAGGAAGCTTTAGGATCAAATATTTGTCAGAATTAAGGCATTGTCGTCGCTGGAAATCGCAGAGAAATAAAATGTGTTTGTTGGTCGTTTTTTGGGTATATGTCTTGATTAAGTGATTTTGAAGGGTGGGGGCTCGTTTTCAAATTTCAAAATTTAAACAAACTTTCGTTAATTATGATTTTTCTCAGATATGTTTAAATCTTTTTTGTTTAACCTGTTTTACATATTTAATAAACCCTAAGTGCGTCACGAAATTAAAAAAATTCAAAAACATTTTCAGGGTCTTTTTTTTTTTTTTTTTTTTTCAATGTAAACTTGCAATTGCCCACTTCGTCTTTGACAGTCGAGTAAATAGCAGCCAACTCCAACTATACTCATCTCTAATTCTTAAACTCTGTCTTTGTTCCGTCCCATTCGTTCTTAATTCATCATATTTTGCGAAATGGAGACGAACTTGTTGGAGTGGGACCACTGGGTCGAAGCGGCACTGTCAAAGCTTCGAATTTAAAAAGTGCTTCGCTCTCTAAGGCCCATTTACGTCTCCTCCAATGAACTACAGAAAGAACAATCTCCACCCGTCGAAGAACGTGGCGATGATTACGAGGTGTTCGATGAAATGCAACCCTGGGATCGATCTGCCGTTGAAATATCAACTCTGACTCCACCTTTCACAGATGGCTCCATGACATTCCTAGTTCTGGTACTTTTGCTCCCTTTCTTTGTCTTATATTGATTAGTTTTAATGATATTTTTATGGGTTTTTCATTATATTTGGTTTTGCTTCCTTTTATCCATTGTTTTTTAGGGATGATATTGCCAAGATTTTAGTTAACGTTTTGTAGGATTATACAATAGCCCCGTATCATATTCATAGTGAATAAATTAATACATATTGTATTAATTAATACCGTCTATACTTAATCTATATACATAATTCTGTACAATAGGTTTAGGTTGTAAAATTAATCAAAAAATACTTTATGATTAAAGTATACCCAATATAACATTCATTATAGTATTGCAAATGCTACAGGACAATTTGGCTTATCAAACATTGTCATATAGTTATTGGTGAACGATTTATGCACTAGTGTCGCACCTTGGATTTTACTTGGACAGGGCTATTAACAATATGAGTGGAGACATGGCTTACTACTTTATTTGATACTTAACCGTTTCTTTTTGGATTTTCAGGATGAGATTGTCTCCAGAGATGGAGTAGCTAATGGTAAGGCCACCGCATGCTCTAGGCAGTTCAAGAAGCTACTTCTGTTAAATCTCCTAATAAGATTGTAAACTTCAGATACATGGCTGACACCATTTATGAGTGTATTATACCTTGGATATTTTGCATCTTGTCTACGAAACCTTACTGCTCTGTGGTTCACAGTCCTCTGAGTGACTTCAACTAGTCTTTTGGAAATATTTGCTAGGTGTTTTGGTAATATACCATATGTTTGACAGATTACTGGTCTTACTATGTTTATATGTTGTGTTATTTATTTATTTTTAACTTCTGGCATATTTTCTTGACAATGTGCTTAATTCTCTTCTTTCTGCAGCTTGTTTGGTATGGATGGAGACTTTGCACCAATGGTTGAACTTGTAAAGCTTCGCAAGAAGTATGACTTTTTGTTAGTCTTAGATGATGTAAGTTGTCTTGATGGTCCAGTGTTCTACTTTTTTTTTTCAGTTTATTTTGAACTTGTTTGAGTTCAAGGGTTGGGTTAAGCGGTATAGACTTTTGGAATCAACCAAGAGGTTAGGGTTAAAACACTCCCCAAAGCACTTACTTGGATACATCCAATAAGTTTCTTGTAATCCCCAGTTTAAAATTCATGAACATTTATGAAAGGTTGGGGAATTTCTTGGCATAAAAGAAAATGTTCAAGTATTTAGCACTTGAAGAAACTGTTATGAGCTTGTCTTTTACATGACACTTGTTGAGGAATTGGACTACATACTCATTTATTTCTTGCACACTTAAAGCCTTTAAATTATGCTACATAAAAAGGTCTAACATTTCAGTTTTTCAAAAACTATTTTAATTATATTGATTCTTCAATAAATCTTTTTTCAGTTGATATATATATTCTCTTTCCTCTCTTTCATATGCTAAAAAGCTTGTCCAAAATTTTATAGTGTATGGCATAGGGAAAGATGGTATCTTCTTCATAAATTAGCTGCAGGTGTATGCTAGCACCAAGTAACCATTCCTTAACTATTTTCAGGCTCATGGAACATTTGTCTGTGGCAAAAGTGGTGGGAGAGTGGCCGAGGAATTCAATTGCGAAAGTGATATAGACATATGCATTGGCACTCTGAGTAAGGCAGCAGGGTGTCATGGTGGTTTCATAGCATGCAGGCAATTTCAAGAACCTGGCCCTTTTTGTTCTGTTAAGAACAGAAAGCAGAACAATTCCCTTACATTTTGCTTTTTTGCTCAAATGTAGGCCTACAACAAGGTTATTTTAGCACTTCGTCAGATTTCCTTCGAAATTTTCTCTTTAATTTTCGCTTTTGGTGATTGAAGAATTGCCTAGCATATTGTCGCAGTGTCTACAGACATCCAGTGTTAAACTATTACAGAAACAACTGCAATGAAATTGCTTAGAAAGAACAACTTTGAATCAACTTAATGCTTAACAAAAATTTTATGAGTTTCCCCAATTTAAGTTTACATATTTCCATTGTTGGCATCTCCACAGAAGCAGAAGCCATTTTAGCTTGAGAATAAAAGTATTGAAGGTTTTTGTAGGATCAAGGATGAAGGAACATAATTCGTTTATTTGATACAAACAATAAAAGATATCTACTTTCAAAATTTTGGTTTTGATTGCTTCTTTGCAGATTGAGGAAGCTATTTTTTTTTTTTTTTTTTTTTTTTTTTTTTTTTTTTTTTTTTTTTTTTTTTTTTTTTTTTTTTTTGTGAGACATAGCTTAAAGTTATGATTTTTGCACAAAATAGTTACTGATGCATTTTATGATTTCTATTTTCTTGTTTGCTATAAGAGCATCTTAGGTGCATTGTACTATATTTATATGATGATGGTTAAGATATGTATATACTTACAGCTATTCTGAATGTTTCTATACAGCAAAAGGAGGAAGCAGTTCATACAATCTAGGGGTCGTTCTTTTATATTTTCAACTTCTGCATCAATTCTCATTGCTGCTGCAGCACATGGTACAGACAATACTTTTCCTTGAGTTTATTTAAAGAAAATTAGTGGCATAACATTTCTTGGATTGTCTTAGTTAGTTTCCCATTAATGAGTACTAGCACTTATGGAATGTAAATAGATGTTTTAAAAGGTAAAGCAACGGTATGATGAATTGTTGTGGTATAACCAGTTTTGCCACTAGATGTGAGTTCCAATGACAGAGAGCTGAATAATTATTCCAAATTGAGTTTGGTTCGGGGGCAGGAAATGTTGCATGAAGAGTCTTTTTGTGGTTCAATTGTCCCCTTACAAAATGGTAAAAAGATAAAAATGAGTAAACCCTTTATGTTGAAAGAACTGTATTTTATGATGTCTCAGGGCATCTTATGCTTCTAGCCATTACCTCTTGTTGTGGTATTTTCTGTTGTTGACAAAGCAAGTATGACTTAGCAGCTGCTGTTATTGTGGCAAAATAGGAAACATGGCATAGAAGGGCTATTTGGAACCGGGTTTAAGACTTTCATGCTCTTACTGGAATCCGAATCTCATATCCCATTATATCTCTTATTGTAGGGAGTGAAGAGAAGGCCCTCCTAGCTAGAATTTGAAAGTAGATATCTTTTATTGTTTGTAACTCTAACTGCAGTGCATACTACAGATGATACAAAGAAGCTCACGGCTGTACGCTCTCGTAACATCAACATGGAAGACATTCCCAGCAATAGTTCAAATGTATATTGTAAGCTATACAATTTGATCTTTTTGGGTTACAAAGGTTTGTTGTAATCTATAGTTCAAGGTAACTTATTACTTGAAAGAGTATCTTCCAAAAAGAGAAGTACATTCACATTCTTCAAATAATTTCAATTTGTTCTTTACGTCTTTGATGACTAACTACGACCAAAGATCTAGTCGTCAACGGCTAGATCTTTGGCTAGGGATCTGGCCTTTTCCGGCCAGATCCATAGTGGATTTGGTCGGAAAAGGCTAGATCGGTGCACTATTAGCCAGATTTCGATCACCTTCTGGCAGTGGTGGCCAAAATCTGGCAAATGTGGATGGGTAAAAGTGTTTTTGTTAATTTTTAAATTTTTTTAGGATGTTTAGTTAAATTAACAAATCTATGGGGTTTAAAAATAATTGAATAAAATAGAATAAGATTGCCAGAATAGGGAAACAATCAAACAAATGTATATTTTTGATAGATACTAATAGGATAGTGCAAAAATACTGAAACAAACGCACTAATCAATAAATTACTTGAAAGAGTATCTTCCAAAAAGAGAAGTACATTCACATTCTTCAAATAATTTCAATTTGTGCTTATAGGCCTGTCTTATAAAAGTAAATCTTAAAGGACAAACTATATCCTTTTAACATTTTTCAAGAATAAGATCAAAATTCTTAAATTGAAAAATCATCTTGCATGCATGTTATCTCTAAATATAAGAGCCAACTTATTATTCTTTCCTTGTTAAAACAACAAATATAAATATAAACTGTGTGGTCATGTTGATGATGATAATAACAATAAATGTTCAACCCCGTTTATGCAAAAGTGGATTTGGGGTGGCTAGAGCCAGTCAAGGAGACGATGATGATGTAGTTGAGGAGCATCCCTTCTCTTCTGCTCACACTCCATTAATATTTCCTTTCTTTCACCTCCCACGGTTTGCCTCGTAGCATCTTCTTGCTTTTCAGGTTGCAACTGTAACAAAAGCATGCCAACTTTAATATATATTATCTTCAATACATAGCAAAAAAATTGATGATAAAAATGAAATTGAGATAGCCAATAAAATTATACACACAAATGAAACAGCAGTGGTGATCGTCTCATTTTGGTTGTTGGGAACCACATTGAGGTTAATAAGAGAAGTTTTAGTGTTGGTATTGATGGTCACAGCAGTAGTTGTATTTTTTACAAACTGGGTATGGGTGGTGGTGGTTTCAGGAGGAAGAGAATGACTACTCAAAGTGACAGCAAGGGGACGCCTCTCAGGTCGTGGCTTGACTAGGGATATTGAATGCTTTTCCATTTGGGGAAGGTCGAGAGAGAGAAGGAAGTGTGGTGGTGAGGTGGAGGAAGAGGAAACTGAGGGAGGTGTTGGGACCATAATGAGATCTTCAAAAGGGACTACATCCTTGACCGACATTGTCATGTCTGGCCACATAAAACTCCCCTGTGGCTTGCATATCTTGAAACTGCTCTTCAGTCTTTTTATTTTGGCGGCTTTGTCTTCTGGTGTTATTACTTTTGTTGTAGCCGCAGGTAATATTGTTGATCCCATTTGTAGTAAAGGTTCTGGGGTTGATTTTGATTTGTTTGTTTCCTCCAGCGATGATTTTAGCTTCTCCATTAGAACCTGCATGATTACCATTAATTTATATAATTTCATGTATGAAATTAGTTAAAGCTTTAAACACAGAAACCATAAATGACCAATCATCACTAAAATATTAACTAACTAATACTAACGAATGTTTGTTAATCATGTCCAGCATTAATTATTGTACCATTAATCACCACATGTTTTCAATTATCGGACAAAGATTCAAAAGCAGATAAACATATCAGAAATAAAAGGAAACTCAGTAATTGAAGGTTTAATAATTGAATACCTCCATTCCACAAAGAGAACGTGAAACTTCCATCATTTGTCCTTCAATCTTAGCTTTCTTATTCACCAAATCTGTATACATCTCCTGCCAAAACAATCCAACAAACACCGAAAGAGTTAGATTAACAACACTCTGGGGAACAAATCCCCTGTTCACTAGTTAATCATTTACCTTCAATGGAAGCAAGAAGTTTTCATGATCAAAGTTCTGACTCGTATTACAAGAACTTGGAGTGTTCACAACAGCCACATCATCCTCTTGCTTCTTTAACAAGAGCTCCCGCATGTTCCTGTAGATTTCCAAACAAACACAGATATATATCAGTATTATTCAACATCAATTTGTTATAAGGAAATTAACAAGCCTCAGGCACGTAGTAACCTTTCCATTTGGGCCATGGCTTCCTTGAGCAGCTTGAACTCCATGGCACAAACAGGATCCTGAATCGGATTATCACCAAGGCTCCAACCAGGCGGTGGAATCCAATAAGGATCCTCAACTCCTGCCTCTATTCGAATATTAACCAAATCAGCACTCTCCAACCAGTACTCCATAGCTCCGTCGGCGTTGTGTCTCCTTCGAAACCTCTCTCGTACTCCTGGGGCCACCTTTCCCGCCATGTGTTTCAACAAATGATCCAACAGACCGGTATCCCCAATCAGTTTCCTCGCCTCCAATCTCAACGCCGGCCTCAATATCGGCTTCCCAAACACCGCTTCTTTCTCTTTCAATATCTTCAACATATTAAGTTCCGCTATTTGATACCTCTCTTTCGACCATCTAGAACTAAAGTTGTTTGTTTCTTTCTTCTTCTTCATCCTCTTCTTCTCACAGCTAGTAATAAACACGTGCGCCGCGCGCTTTCTCTTCCGATTCTCCCTCATCTCCTCAGGTGACCGATCTAACTTCACATCTTCTTCTTCACCGTCAAGTTTCTCCGTCTCATCATTTCTGAGGAACAGAAATTTCTTCCTATTACCCCAGTTGAGCATCCCGCTACTCTTAAGCTCAGTCAAGCAGTGGCCGTTCTTGGAAGGTTCCAATGAGACGTTCTGGTTTGCAAGAATCTCAACAGGTGATAATGAGAGTTCATGACCGGCTTCCTTTTCGTCCAGTGAAGCCATATTCGTCCTCAGCTCTTCTTCAAGCTTACTGTTAGAGTGTTAGTCTAAGTGTGTGTGTGTGTATGGGGCTGGAGAGATAAATGTGATTTCACTGATTTGTGTTAGTAGATATAGATATAGTGTTTGTCTGCCCAAATGCATCATTTTTGCGGCATCGTTTAAATAACATGATTTTGCTGCCTCCTACAAAACGGTAAAATGAATTAATGAAAATTGAGAATAAAACCAAATCGCATGATAATAATTATGTTTATAAGTGCTCATGCGGCCGCACGTAAAACAGAATCAAAAGACAACTGATTTGGGCAAAACGGAACAGAAGACGCGCTTGTAGAGCACGTGCAGACAGATTTGATATTTCAATCTGATGGGGCCTTGTGTCTACTGCCTAGGGTGAATTTGATTGTGTATCGTTGTGAGCGCGTGGGGTTTAATGAAGTGGATGAGCGTGGTAGTTGTGGAAAAAATGCGTAACAGAAAAAAGAGAGTTGTGAGCGCCTGGGGTTAAATACATCAAGCACTAAGATGGCAAAGCTTCAGAGTGGAGACTGGAGAGAACAGCGGTGTGAATTAATAAATGAGAGTGGCAAAGCGTTACTTATAACATGGATACTTGAATTGAATCTTTTTCAAATTACAAATTTAACACAGATTTTCAAGCCTTTACTCTCAAGATGAAATATCACATTTACAAATATATTTGCAATGAGTTTATATGGAATGTCAAAATCAATTGCTTCATCTTCTATATTCACAACCACACTCCATACTAGTACCAAAAGCAAAGTACCATCAACATGATTACAAGCAGAAAAACCAGTCAAATGTCCAAAATTCTAAATTTTTATTGCTACCATACCACAAACACGACTTCTCTTGGTGACCGCGTATAGTTACTGGACATGGATCTTTGCATACATGGCAAGGCTCAAAACACACTTTACCAAACAACCTCTATCTATTCTGTGAAAGATGAAACACACTGCTCAGCTTCATGGTATTAGCACAACCGATCCAGATGTTTTTCGGCTCTCCAGGTCTGCACGTGCCTCTGTTGCTTGTGCTAAAGCATATGTATGATTTACACGAACCCGCAAGACACCTGATGCAACGTTGGGAAATACCTCCCCAGCAGTTTCCAGCAGCTCATGAGAGAAGGCCTCGTCAAGAACAGAGATTTTGGTGCCAGTGCTGATAAGGAAACTGGATCTGTTGTACCAGAAGACTGCCCAAAACTCACCATGTAACCCTGAAGCTTTAAGCATGCCAGTGATCCCTGAATATGGTAAAATTTGGATGTTAAGAACTGACTCCCAACAAATTTAAGAGTACAAAGTAGCAGACCTATTAAACCCAACAACCTTTTACGTCAACCAAAACTCTTAATGGATCAACTTGGTTCAATCCGGATTGCATTTTAGCAACATTTTACCAAAACAACTTCATTATTGATTTAAATTCTTCTAGACAATTAATCAGTCCTAGCTTGTGGATCAAATTGCTTTCAATAATATAGTATGCGTTTGGTTTAATATTTTTATCCCTATTCTGGATCCTATTTTTCAAATAGCGTTTGGTACAATATTCTCAAAATATTACCCTATTTTTTTTAATTACATTTTAACCCCATAAGGTTATTAATTTCACTAAATACCCCCTGAAAAAAAAGTTTAAAAATTAACAAAAACACCCCCATTAACCCAACTTGTCAGATTCCGGCAACCACCGTCGGTGATAGCCGGAATCTGTACAACGGCCAAACTTCCGACCAGAAATGGCCGGAAGTTCACCGCTGTGGCCTTTTCCGGCCAGATCCACCACGGATCTGGCCGGAAAAGGCCAGATCTGGCCGTCAGCGACGGCCAAAGAAATGGCCGTCGTTGACGGTCAACGACGGCCAAATCTTGGCCGTCGTTGACCGAAAACGACGGCCACATCTTTGGCCGTCCCTGACGGCCAAAGATGGCCGTCGTTTGGCCTTTTCCGGCAAACGACGGCCATAACAAACCGTAGATCTGGCCTTTTCCGGCCAGATCCACCATGGATCTAGCCGGAAAAGGCCATAACGACGTGTTACGGCACAGATCCGACAAGTCTGTGCCGTAACGAAATTTTCCGGCCAGATTCCGGCGGTGGTGGCCGGAATCTGACAGTGCAG